TTTTTGAGACAGGGTTTCTCTATGCAGTTCAGCCTGGCCTTGAACTCACTTTGTAGCCCAGGCTAACCTCAGACACACATTGATCCTCCTGCCTCAGCCTCCCAAGTGCTGGGATTACAGGCCTTCATCATTACAGGCTAAACAGTAATTCTCTTAAGGACATGTTTGGTGATATGAAAATTAATTGGCAGGAAACTTTTGTGAACAAAGAAACGATCGAAAGTCGGATCAGGCGGTTGGCGTTTCCCTGAGTTGTTTCATTCCCAAAGGAGGTGGACTTTCCATCCTGGCCTAAGTCCCTTTACTTTTGGCCACCGTGGTCATAGTCTTCCTTCCCTCTTACCTTGTTCCTCCACCAGCTATGCCTGCCACATGCCACAGGCTGCTGGTTGCACTGCGTCACCACCCTAGCCCTCAGTAACATCTTGGATGGTAGGCCACAAGGGCTTCCCCAACTGTTCACTATTTGGAATTAAAACCGGAAAGTTGGAAAGAAACTTCCCGAAGCTGAGTTCACAACCTGCCTACTGGTTAAGAGGAGCAGCCGGGCATGGTAGCGCTCGCCTGTAATCAGGATCGCTGTGTATTGGAGACCAGCCTGGGCCAGTCTGAACTGCATAGTGAAACCTTGTCTCAAAAAGACGAAAAAAGAAAACCGAAAAAAAAAAAAAAAAGAAGCAGGGCATATCTTGCACTCTGCAAAAAGGCTGGTTCCCTGGTAGGGACGAGAAGCCCAGTGGGTGTCAGTCACCCTGAAGCAAGCTGGCAGGCTACTTATACAGGGAGAAGGGCATTTTGAGCCAACATGGTGGGGAGTGGTTGCAGGACAACGAACGATCAGAGACGACCGAACAGCCAGCCGACAAAAAAAGGGGGCCAGGAGACGCTGGCTAAGGCCCACACTGATCTAACCCAAGATGGCGCCGGAGGGGGTTACCGGGAGCGCGCCGGAGGAGGGTACTACCCTGTTCCAAGATGGCGGCAGCGACTGAGGCGAGCCGAGGGTCGGGAGCGCCACGAGCGTCTCTGCCCTTACCCAAGATGGCGGCCCCGTGGGCGGTGTCCCGGCTCCGCCCGCGCCCCGGCCCCGCCTCTCCCTCGTCCCTCTCTCCGCCCCCTCGTTCGGCCAAGTCCAGCCGGTGGTGCTCGCGCAGAGAGAGCGGGTTGCGGGCGCTCGACATGGCGGCAGTGGCGGCCACTGCAGCGCCTAAGGGGAATGGCGGTGGCGGGGGCCGGGCCGGGCCCAGCGAAGGCAGTGGCACGCGGAGGAAGAAGGGCCCGGGGCCTCTGGCCACGGCGTACCTGGTCATCTACAATGTGGTGATGACGGCGGGGTGAGGCTGGGGCTCGGAGGCGGGGAGGGCGCTCTGCGGCCAGCGGCGCGGCCCGGCGCGTG